CTATTCAAGATCATATTTCAATCTCTTTTTAATTTAGGCTGTCATATGTGTGATGCCAGTAAGTATAAACTTTTACAAATACTATAAAAACAGTTGTGATAGTTCAAAAGATAGACTTGATACAAAAATACTGAGTCAGTTTTCCAAACTTCCAGAAAAAAACCTTTCGTCGGTCCTTTTTTATCACCTAAAAACTTAAACTTAACTTTGCTCAAATTGTAGACGCAAGTTCTGTTGGTCCGTGCATTCAGTGTATGTGTGAATGGTTATTGTTATGTTTCTCACGAAATAAATCGTTTCCTGAAATCCTTTCGAGTGGTGAGTATAAAAAATGCTGGTTTCTCAAAACTCGAGACTCGGTTTTCCTGTCTCGAAACTCGATTCGTTCGAGGCTCGATTATTGTTCCAGTTTTGTCTCGTCTCGCAACGTTCCTTTTAAGCCTTCCCAACTTATCTAGGAAGATCAAAGGGCCTCTGCTCGCAGGGTATAAATTGATAAACAACAACAACTTCAAAGATAGATCTTTTCAGCGATTACCTCACTTTGGATATTCTGACCAATCCTGTTAGATTTACACTCACTAAAAAAGGTAACATTTTGGGGAAAAATCCACTGCCAGTTCCGCCGTTTACATATTACTCTTTAAGTTATGCGGGGCTGCTGCCTAAGAAAATTAGAAGAAAAAGTTAGAAGCCTGAGCCGCATTTCTAGGAGCCCAATTAAAAAAGATCAGTAACTTTATTAACCCTTTGGTGACGACCAATGAGTAGCGAAAAAACCGGATTTTTAACCAATTCCTCTTCTTTGGACTGGGTTCTGGCTAATGAGAATAAGAAAGGCTAAAAAAGAGTTTTGCAAGGAAAAAGACATGTTTTTCGAGTAATCTGGCGTTATTAAACAGCTTTTTTGTCTTTCACGCATGCGCAAAAGCCAAAATTTGGACCTTTTTTTGAGAATCTATTTCAATCTTTCTCTCTTACTCTCTTTTTTTCCTTTGCCTTTCTTGTTTATTAGGAGTTTTGTTGCCCACTTTATCATCCCTGTTTTGCATGGAATTGTGGCTGGCTAACTTTTTAGGAAAGGGGCAAATTAATCTTCAAAGAGTAGTTATGTAAACAGCAAAACTGGCATTGGATTTTTCCCCAAAATGTTGACTTTTTTAGTGAGTGTAACTCTGACAGGATTGGTCAGAATATCCAAAATGAGGTATCACTGGAAAGATCTATCTTTGAAGTTGTTGTTGTTTATCAATTTATACTCTGCGAGCAGAGGCCGTTCGATCTTCCTAGATAAGTCGGGAAGGCTCAAAAGGAGCGTTGCGTGATGAGACAAAACTGGAACAATACTCGAGCCTCGAACGAATCGAGTTTTGAAACACGAAAACCGAGTCTCAAGTTTTGAGAAACCAGCATTTTTTATACTCACCACTCGAAAGGATTTCAGGACACAATTTATTTCTTGAGAAACATAACAATAACCATTTGCACATACATTGAATGCACGGACCAACGGACCTTGCGTCTACAATTTGAGCAAAGTTAAGTTTAAGTTTTTAGGTGATAAAAAAGGACCAACGAAAGGTTTTTATCTGGAAGTTTGGAAAATTGACTCAGTATTTTTGTATCAAGTCTGTCTTTTAAACTATGACAACTGTTTTTATATTTGTGAAGGTTTGTATTTACAGGCATTGCACATGACAGCGTAAATTAAAAAGAGATTGAAATGTGATCTTGAATAGCTGCTGTGAATTATTTTTAAAAACTGGAATGTTTTTGCGAGCCTTTCGAAAGTTCTCACAAAACCTACAGAAAAAAATAAAGAAGGCGTAGATAACGCTGAATGAATGATAAAAGAAACCTCCAAGTGTACCGTTTGTGTTCTTAGCAAGATAGAAAACGCTGCAAACTTGCAAACCGATGTCACATGAAATTTGAAACCAGCTTGCTTTTCTACGCATCGCGACTTTTGCTCAGTGTTTACTTCATGTAGTAGCAACCTAACATTTCTAACTCTGAAGGAAAAGTCATGATTTTATTATCAAAGGTTTGTTGAAAGACTATTAAATTATTCATTTGACACCATTTTCAGACGAGAAACTTCAACTGCTCCGCAGCGGAAGTCATAGAAGCGAATTTCAAGACATAAGTGCTGTTTGTTTACCTCTTATCAGCGGTAATATATTTTTGCCTATGGACGACTATCAAACAATGCTTTCCTTTGTTGTTTTAAAAGTACGGAATGAGCAGGGAATTTTGTTGTTTGTTCACTGGAAGTTAGCCTGAGAATCATATGTTTTAGGTGCTTTTTCAGGCTTCCTGTTTGAAATTTTGGTCGCCCGAGGGTGAATCGTAGGCGCCTCTGGCAACCAGGCACCTGTTAGGCAGCAGCCTTGCTAGTGACCTCTCTGTTTTACAAGGCATTCATATTACAAGGAGAAACTTGATGCTGATCACTCTTAGGGCTTAAAGGGTAAATATTCATGAAAAATGGGACCAGCAAAACAAGTGTGTGTAATTGAAAAGTCCGATTAGTTAGATGTTGCATACAAAATTACGTAATTTTTTCATACTAATTTCATGGAACCTGCAGCCTTCACACGTACTCTTTTAAAGGCTTCCAGTTCAAAAACACTCCCTCTTAAAGATGCCAAATAGTGGGGAAGACTCAAGACCCTGAAAACCATACCCTGTATAGTGCAACATCCCTGTCTAGACCAAAATAATGAGGGAGTATCGATCTCCACCCCAGAAATGGAACCCCCTAGTAAAGTCAATTCTGGCCCTGTGAACACCTTGCTTTTATGGACACCTTGATAATAAGAATGTAAAAGCAGTTAAATTTCCATTCAAAATACAAATTATGGACTCTTAACCTGACCAACTGACCTGACATGAGATAAGGTGTCGAAAAACTGTTATACAAGTTCCATTCTTTAAAATGCTACGTCAAATCAAGTTAATTTTTGTCAATTTTTTTTAGTGATTGACAACATTGCATCACATATTTGAGATTCTTGGTGAAGTGGAATAGAATGGCAACCCGCAAAACAACTCACAGGAATGACTGTTGGATAACAAGATCAGCAAGAGAAGGCGACCCTGAAGACAAGGTAAACAACTCTCCTAGTTTTCTTAGAGTAAATAAATCGCTAATTGAGTCGAGAATCGAGACTCGCAATGGACTGTCCAAGTTCAAGTTCAAGTTCATTTATTCACACTTATTCAATTACAATACAACAACAATAAGAAAAAAAAAGAAGTAAAAACAGAGCTAACTATACATTGAATTAAACATAACAAAGGAAAAGAGTGTGTAGCAGCCAAAGGAGCCAAGCTTTCGAGTTGGCTACTACCACAGAGCAGTTACAAGTGGGTGGAGGTTAGACAGTACTTATAAAAAACTATTTAAATTAAATAATCAAATAAATAGAGCTAATTAACAGATTAGAGTTGTTCAAGATGCCTTACTGTCAAGTAGAAAGAGTTTATATTCTTTTTTAAAACTGTTCAAGGGGAGACACTTAATTTTCATAGGCGTTGCTTCCCAGGTCTGTGATGCCACTACACTAAACCTTGCTAGGCCATAATTAGTTCTGGAAAACGGTCTGCACAGGTTTTGATTAGTGGCATACCAAGTATTATAATTATGGACAGCTGAAGCCGGTTGAACTAAGTCATGGAGGGCAGGAGGTGTATCCTTTTTTTGATATTGAATTTTATGCACAAGAGCGCCAATTTTTAATTTAAAGATATTCTCTAACTTTAAGATTTCTAATAGTGTAAAGTACAGTGTGGGACTTTCTCTTTTGTTTGCAAAGAAGATGCAGCGAATACAGTTATTTTGACTTACTTTGATTTTATTTAACTTATTTTGGTATGCGGTACACCAGCTCATTAATCCATACGTTACATACGGATATTTGAGAGTATAGTACAGTTGTTTGAGTGTACTTATAGGCACATAATGTCTAAGCTTAAATAGAATTCCAATGTATTTTGTTATTTTGTTGTTAATGTTCTGGAGCTGAGCATCCCATGTTAGATGTTCATCAATAAAGACACCCAAATATTTAATCTTGGGCTTTTGCTCTATATTACAAGCTGTTATTCTGATATTTGTTTTCTTGTTAGGTGAAGTAATTATCATGTAATAAGTGTTCTTGAAGTTAATGGACAGTATATTTGCTGCACAGAATTTTAAGACCTTTCCAAGTTCTTCATTGATAACTGATTGTAATTGTTCTGAGTCTTTTGAAGAATAAAACATATTTGTATCATCTGCAAAAATCCTAAAAGTTAATTTCTTCGAAGACCTGGGCAAATCGTTAATCTGTAGTTTGGAGCCTGGAGGTACACCACATGTGACGGTTTTCAGGCTAGACTCTGTATTACCAACTTTGACATATTGCTACCGATTAGTTATATAGCTTGAAAACCATGCATGGGGGAGTCCTCAGATCCCATACTTAAATAAATTTTCTAAGAGAATATGGTGGTTAATTGTATCAAAGTCCTTGGAAAAGTCTAAAAAGATACTACGTGTTATTTTTTGATCATCAACTGCTGACTTTAATTTTTCCACAGTTTCTAGAATGGCATACTCAGTGGAATATCCCTTTCAAAAGCCAAATTGGAAGTTAAAAAGTAGACATTCTTTTTCCAGATAGGACACAAGTTGGTCATATACTAGTCTTTCCAGTACTTTACTAAAGGGAGAAATAACTGCTATTGGCCTGTAATTTCCTAACTCAGATCTGTCAGATAGACTACCACTTTTAAATATTGGGGTTACTTTTGATATCTTAAAGATTTTTCCCCTGATAATAATATTGGCTCATTATATATTGCAGTAAAGGGTGCAGAGTGCTGTTCAGTTGCAAGTTTAATAAGCTTGTTAGGAACAATAAGGGATACTTTGTTTTCTTTTAGCCCAGCAAATAATGTAAATACCTGTGTTTGGGTTACTGGAGCAAGCTAAAAACTGTTTGGTGGTGTAGATTCTATATATTGCAAAGGGTCTGTAGATCAGTTTTGATTTCCTTTGCTAAAGTTGGCCCAATGGTTACAAAGAAGTTATTAAATAATTCGGCAATGTCCTTTTCTTGTGTAAAAGTCCTGTTATTGTGAGTGATTCTCGTGGGGAAAGTTTGACCTTTGGTTTTCCTTTTAACAAGAGTACCAATAAGTTTCCAAGTTTGCTTGAGGTTGTCTTTGTACTTTGCAAATTGCATGTTATAGTATTCTGTCTTACTTTTATTCTTAAGATGTGAAAGAATAGCTGCATAATGTTTATATTCCCCGATTTTTTGTAAGTCCTTGCTTAAGAAATGTGTATGGTACATTTTCTGTTTCCTTTTTACCGATTTTAGGATACCCTTAGTGAGCCATGGCTTATTAAGTTGCCTTTGCTTGCTTTGGCTAGCCAGCTTGATAGGCGCATGTTTATCTACAATTTTATTCCGGGTATTGATTGCCTCCTGTAGCTTTTCATTTAGATTCATTTCTGGGTTGAGGATTTCGTGCCAATCAATCAGTTTTATATCATCAAAGTATAGATCTTTATTAAATTTAGAGTAGTCTCGAAAATATTTTTTGTCACTATTATTCCGTGTAGGCTGGGTTCTGACTAAGCAGAAAATCGGAAGATGATCTGTTATATCAATTGTCAGGATTTCTGCTGTGAAATTTTGTAAACAATTTGTATATATATGGTCAATGAGTGTTGCTGTGTGATAAGTAAGCCTTGTAGGTTTAGTAATGATCGGCAAGAAGTTATTGGCATAAATCATATCTAAAAACTCTTCCGTTTGAGTATGTTCATTGAATTTCAGGAAATTTATATTCATATCTCCAAAGATGTAAATTTCGTGTCTATTGGGATTAATTGTTTTGATTTTATCATTTAGTTGATTGTGAAACTGTTCTAAATTACAAGTGGGATGCTTGTAGATACTAGACTAGGAGTAGTCCCCCATTTGTCCTCAGGGATAGTAGAGCGAGCGAAACGCGAGCGCGCGTGAAAATCACTCCACGCGAGAAAAGGCCACACGCAGCGGGGAGAGAGTTCGCCTTTCTCGCGTGGGGTGATTTTCACGCGCGCTCGCGTTTCGCTCGCTCGAATATCCCTGAGGACAAATGGGGGACTACTTGTAGTCTATGTAGATACAACCTATTATGATCTTCTTTTTACCAGCAACAATTTCTGCCTAGCAGGATTCAACTAGCGCTATGTCAAATTTAATATCAGGCCTAGATACAGCTTTAAGATTATTAGCTATATATAAAGCAGCTCCACCTGCGTTTGTTGGCGAGTCCGTGTGAAAAAATTATAGCCTTTGATATTTACATTAGAAATAGACTTCTCACTTAATTTAGGACCTGTTTACATGGAAGTGAGGGACCCCAGATAGGTGAGGTAACCCGCTTAGGTGGGGTAACACGCCAGTCTATATATTCTCTCATTACCGGGGCCCAGCCGAAGGCTGGCACCGGTCTTAAAATGCAGACCGTCCGTTTTTTCAACGTTACATTGTTAGGGATATATCGCTGACTGAGATATATCGCTGGCTCATTGAAATCTTATCCGTCATTTTGAAAAGAAGAGGCATGGAGGACAGTCAAGAGAAAGATTATAGCTTTTTGGGGGAACGACACGTTCCCCCAACCCAACTAGTTTATGAGCGAAAATTTAAGAGTGAATATTTGGAGAGACAAATTTACGAGCGATCACTTCTGAGACTGAACCTTCCATCGTGAAACTTATCGAGAAATTGAGTGAACCTTCCATCGTGAAATTTATCGAGAATCAAAGCGAACACTTATCAAAATTTGTCTTCAAAAAGATTTCAATGATTGACATACCGAAGACTTCAAAGCTCCATCGCTATGTTAATAAGGTGAGAAAACTTTATCATGCACGATATAAATGTAATAACAAACGCGATCCAAAGATAATTAACTTCAATAAAATGGCTATACCCAAGAAAGCTTATTTGTTGTCTTTCTTTAGCAGGCATTATCACAGGATAATGGAACTAAAAATAATGTAAAGCACGTCGATCTTTATTATTGTTTTCTTGCAATTGTGTGAGTCATATGACCAATTATGTGAATTTCAAACTAAGTAAAGATGTTGAGAAGAATCCAGGACCTACTCAATACAACACTGATCATCATGAAGTAATAATTAGACCTTCTATGCAAAATCACAGCTCAACATTGGTTGAGGTCACACTAGAGACTTTACTATGGTAAAAAGGGCTTTACTATGGTAAGTCTCGCAACGTCTTCTTTACCGTAGTAAACCTGACAGGTCCACTTAAAAAGGCATTTGAAACTTTCCAGGCGTTTTTTCTCGCGTGATCGGTAACGTGAGAGTGAAAAGTAAAACAAGTGATGACCTGCTATGAGAGCTGACTAAATTGAAATTACTGAACTGTAACTTCCTGAGCGTGACCCTCACAAGTGTACAAAGATGCTTCAATGTGAGAGAGTATTGTTTTCTGTTGTGAGCATTTTGCTTTTAATTCTGCTGCTCAGACGAGCAAGAAGAATGCGCTCCCTTATTACCTACCTTGGTTTCGAATAGGAAGTTAGTGAAGATGTTTTAGTGACAGGTTTATTGATTACTCATCGAAGACGTATTCTTAGAGAAAGAGCGGCATTGCGAAGGCAAGCGTGAGTTTAACCTCGACCCCAGGAATGGTTTGAAGAAATGTACAGAAACAGAAACCTTCAAGCACGGTGGAAAAAGCAATCACCGATGTTTAAAGCTATTCTGTTATGTGACCCTTTTTGAAACTACTTTCCTCAAAAATCATGACAAACTGTCAACAAAACAAACAAAGTTTAGATAGACTAGAGATATACCCACCTATTTTTTTTGGTAACCAGATGGTTATCGGTGATGGGTCATCTTTGTTCTTTCCGCGGTAGTCATGGAAATTAACCAGGGTAGAGTTTACCATTGTATACTGAAAAATGCCGGTCACACTTACGGCGCCATTTACTATGGTAAACTTGGGTTTACTATAGTAAACTTTCTCTAGTGTGACCTCAACCAATGCAGTTGAACTCTCCTATTTCCTCTGAGAATTTGATGCAGTCAAGATTAGGTGCACTTTGTTTACAATCAATAGATGTTGGCGGTGCAGGTGATTGTTTCTTTAGATCTGTATCACATCAATTATATGGCAAAAGCAACCATCACATGCATATACGTACTGCTGGGGTTCAATTTATGAGAGACAATCCTGAGAGATTTATTGAGAGCAATACCGAAAATTCATGGATAAGATATCTGAATAATATGTGTATTCAAGGTACATGGGCTGATGCACTTATCATTCAAGCAGTTGCAGATATACTACTGTTTACCCAGTTCAGGAAAGAAATACTTCCTCTACAATAATTACTATAGGCCATATTGATGAATGCCACTATGTATCAACCACTGCCTTACAATCAAGTGCCTCCATTTCAATGTGCAATGAATTAACAAATGATACTCAGTCATCAATAAATAAGCATTTTATTATGTCTGTATATAACACTGGATGACATTTTTACAGTGCAAGACAACAATCCATGACCACAAAGATCTATTTCAAAAATGTCTTATGTCTGTTATCATTTCAAATTCACAGTGTTTTCAAAAAAATAGATAAATGTGATTAATAAATCTCAATGATAAACCTGATGATAACGTACTTGAGAAAATGTGAAATTGTGATAATTCTGTAACAAACTTCTTTGCAAACTTTGTCATTACCATTCAACCCAAAACTGTCAGTGATTTTTGCTTTTTCACTCAAACTTAAAAACAAATGAAAACCTTATACAGATCACACTTATTGACATCACAGTGTTACTAAAAACACTACTATAACACAGACCGTTAGCTGTAATAACACTGAACAAACTTACAACAACATCCTCCTTTCTCATGCATTTTGTTGCTTTTCTTCTGCATGAGTTAATTCAGACTAAGTATTAGAATTAGCCTCCACAGAGGAGGGGGGAGGGGTGCGAGAGGTAAACTATATCTATGCAATCCCGTATCCCACTGGGCCCCGGTAAGTTCCACGTAGTGGTTCTAGTTTTAATTTGATCACGTTTACATGATAGGTGGGGTGACCCGCCAAAGCGGCCGGGTAGCCCTCTCTGCCGGGGTTAAATTTTGCCATGTAAACGTTTTAAGGTGGGGTAACCCGCCTAGCCGGAGTCGGATTCGTGATGCATCAAATTCACTTTGGCGGTGGCGTTGCATCATTATTACTGCGCTTTTCACAAACATGCGGATTGTGAAGTTCAAAAGCCAACTGACAATTGCGTTTGTCGCTGCCGTCAATCATCTTAACGGACCTCTTAGGAAACAAAACTTTACTTTAACGGGTTCAAAAGGTCATTGTTTGTGATTTGTGATTGGTGGATGTCGATCCGTTTTATGTGTTTCTGTGTCTCAAGGTTCGTTGCTTGTGATCATAATTATGATTGACGGCAGCGAGAAACGCAATTGTGAAGGCGACCCATTAACTTAAGAGTTCGCGTGTTTGTGAAAAGCACAGTAAAGGTAACAGTAGAAAGCGACAGCACTGACGGTTGCAGCAGAAGAGCATTAATCGCCAAAACACATGGTTTGCCACCATTTTCTTGTTTAAGTACGGAGCGACCATTCAATAATCTCGAGAAAGTGCACCCCTGGATGGCGGGGTTGTAAGATTGCATGTAAAGGAGGGTTATTTTTTTACCCAACCTAAGAGGGTTACCTCACCTACCTGGGGTCCCCCACCTCCATGTAAACAAGCCCTTAGTTTCTGTAATTCCAAGTATATCCAGCTTGGAGTCAAGGGAGCGTAATAGTTCTTCTAATAGATTTGGGTTTTTTATAAACTTCTACATTGTAATTAAAAATTATTACAGTGAAGAATTGAAAAAGATTTTGCGTCTGAATTTACAACCATTTTAGTAAAGCTACGGACTGAATAATATTCTGAGCAGGGGGTATTTAGCATTAAATCTGGTTTCTCTTTTCAGCAACAAACTGCAGAATGGGTGAAAGCTTTCCGTGACACCAACATCCCCTGTTCGAATGCCTTCTCGGTGACCGGAGACTTTGGGAGACCCTTTGAAGATAAGGAACTGGAACAAGCTGGGCTACCAACTGACAGTTTCTCTATTCAGACTGGCATCATTATCAGGTAATTATTAAAACCTGAATCATTGGATAATGTAATTCTAGAGCTCTGATTGGCTTAGCCATTATGGTATACCGTAAAATTCCGAAAATAAGCCCCTCCAACTGTAAGATCCAAGTGTAACATTTTTCCTATTATTCGTTCTTGTGTAATTTGTTTTTCCTTTGCGTACGCAAATTAGTTTATACTTCTTTTCGTCCTTTTGTTTAGTCTTTTTTTTTTGCGTTAATTTAGGTGTTTATTCCTTTTTGTCAGTTTTCGCGCCCTCGTTAGCGTTTCTTTGCTGTTTCATCTTCATTAGCGCC